TTCCGAATGAAAGATCTTTCTCCCAATAATCAGACACTTGATGAATCTCGATCGAAGTTTCGTTTGATTCTAACGTTCGATGTTGGAATGAATAGAGTTTCCCCGAACGAAAACCTCATTCATTGTTTGTTCAAGAAAAATTTACCATCCTGCTCCTTCGAGTTTTTTTCATCACTACGGTCGAAATCGATTTCTGCTTTAATCAATCACTGCATTTAATAGTGGGGATGCACCGATACTTTGCTTTCGGTACTTGTCGATGCAGAGTACCAATACCGGTGCTTCCGCTGGCATGGAGCCGGCTTCCCAGGCAATCTGATTGGCCGAGAAGCTGGCTCCATGTTTGGCTGGATTAATTGCGCTTGGCCGGGAAACTGGCTTCCCAGCCAATCAGCATGCAGCTGGCCTCTCGGCCAATCAGGAAGCCAGGCAGCGAGTAATGTCCCACCTTCCTGATTGGTCAGAAAACAGGCTTGATGCTGATTGGCTGGAAAGCATACTTCCGGGCCAATCGGCATGGAGCCGACTGTTCAGCTGCAGCTAACGATTATTTTCAAAATTGATTAGTTAGCTGATTTATTAGGTTCCATTAATCGGATTAAAAAATAAAATGCTTTTTAAAAAATGGCTCCCAGTGATGGACTACTAGTTTGTATTGAGATTGTATCACAGGAGCAAGCTTGGAGCGGTGAAGTAAAAAAGAAAACAAAAGTGTGGTGTGCAATATAGTGAAATGGAAAGTGTAAAATTATACAGCAATGAATGCAGAATGGAACCGGCTATTGAGGAATACAAATCGCAGCAATACATTATAGAGCACCAGCAACTTGCTTCTCAGATCGGACCTGTCGGCCGCTGTCATCCCCCCCACACCTGCTCCTCCTTACTTCTCATGCGTCCCTGTGACGATCGTGGATGTGGGCAGGCGGTGAGCGTGAGGCGGGGAGGAGGTGTGGATGTGGGTGGTCGGGTCTGGCAGCGGTAAGCGCGAGGTGGGGAGGAGGTGCAGCGTGTGGAGCCGTGAACAGGGCCAACTGATCAGAAGCCGATTAATCAATGATTGATTGAAAACGTTGACAACTTTTTCAATAACCGATTTTAGTCGATTAGTTGTTGCAGCCCTACTTGCCGGCCAGCTTCCTGATCGCACGGAAAGCTGGCTCCATGTTCCCCTACGGCACTGCCGGTCAGAGGAAACCTTCCTCTGGCTGGAAGTTCCGGTATCGGAGCATATGGATGAGTACGAGTACTCTTCCAAATACTCGCTATCGGTGCTGATACTAGTATCTGTATCGGTGCATCCCTAGTTAATAGAAAGTCAAACGAAAGTTCTTTTGAAAATCTAACCAGGGAATGGCCAGCTTTAGGAACAAGTATTTACTGGTTTATTGATCTTCTTCTTGATCTAAATATCTGACTTTGCCTACTTTTAGGCCCTCTCCTTAGTCCTCCCCAGTGGTTACCCTAGCACAAAAACTCACTTTAGGCTTCCATAAAACAATAAAAGGACCACCCGTAAGTGTGCTTAACCTGATTAGATCATTTATTCAAGTAGACATATCAATTGATCTGATTTAACTGATTAGGGTCATATGTCTTGTTGCACTCTGACCTTTTGCAGTCATCTCTTGGCCAATCCATCTTGGTGGAAGTCAGCTTGATGGGATTTCTAGCTTGTGATTTCAGCCAGTTGCTTCTCCCTTCTCCAAAGATATAGACATGCATGCCCTGCTAATTCCAACATGCATTTTTATGACATTTCAGCCTGCCTTGTGCATGCTTGTCTATTCACCATCTTATGTCTGCGAGTAGCTAAAAGGAAAAACCGGATAGCAACATTTTCTCCACCTGTCAACCCTGTTCAGGTTGTGGAAGGGAGGGAACCTTTTAAATGGGAGCAATTGTAATGTATAAAACATTAAATCCAAATGATTGGAAAAGACGAAGGTTGGTTAAAGGCAGATATTACCCTATTTAAAGTGACACACTAAACTCAGACTTTGAATCTTAAAAATACATTCAGGTACCTTTTTAACTATTAACAAAAATGTATCTTATTTGTATATCACTCGGCTATAGATCCTCAAATCATCTCTGAATTGGTGCTGACACTGTCCTTCCTTCCAGAGGGTGCCTACTTTTGTTCCCCACGGTCCCTGTGTGTGTTGTAAAGTAGTCACCGCTCCAAGCTCACTCCTGTGATTGACTACAATCTCAATACAAATTAGTAAACCAAACATGAGATTGTAGTCCATCACAGCAGTGAGCTTGGAGCGGTGACTACTTTACAACACACACACACACATGGACCATGGAGAACAAAAGTAGAAAATCAAACAAAATTTCAAATGACAGTTGCCAAGCCTCTGATGGTATTAAACGTTCTGATGGAATTTGTTATACAACCATTCGTGCGAACATCTAAACCGTGTGCACCCACTGCATTCAGATCCGTAAAACCAAACTAGAAAAATCTGCGTTCAAGGTCCGTAATTTGTGCATCTATAGGCATACTGCCAATCGTGGATGTGGGCGGGCTGAGAGTGTGAGGCGGGAAGGAGGTGCGGCGTGTAGAGTGCGGATGCGGGCGGGTCTGGCAGCGGTGAGCGTGAGTTGGGGAGGAGGTGCGGCACGCGTTTGTGGACCCGTGAACAGGGCCAACTGATCGGAAGCCGATTAATCGATTATTGAAAAAGTTGACAACTTTTTCAATAATCGATTATAATCGATTATGTCGATTAGTTGTTGCAGCCCTAATGTGTAGAGATGAAAATGGAATGATACATTTCGGTGCCTAAACCCTGCAGGATGTATATGCCTCTATATACATAGACACGAGCAGTTTACGGACCATGTCATGCGTGTTTTACGCCATATCTTTCTGCCAGCAAGATCCTGTGTCGATGATCAGTCATTTCATTAGGGTCGTGTGCATTGGACCTCTTCTTCTTTTTTTTTTTCCACACGCGGATCATCATGAAAAGAATGCAACAAACAAAATTCGTGTTCAGCTATTTTCATTTGTTCCCTATAAAGCACAAAGTGCAAGCTCGCAGAAAATCCTCGGTATGTTGGCTTTTAAAAGAAGTGTTTCATTTTAAAATGGGCAAGGTCCCGTCTTTCCTGTCTTCACATAAGATAATTGCAATATTTCAGTTGAAAACTCTCCGTGTCCTAGAAGTAACGAGGCCAATGCTTTTATCATCATGTGTATGGAGGATCTGCATTTTCTCTCTTCCCCCCCCCTCCCA